ATCATACACCACTCATCAGACACCACTCATCAGACACCACTCATCATACACCACTCATCATACACCACTCATTATACACCACTCATCATACACCACTCATCATACACCACTCATCTCATCATCCAGTTAGCTCTAGTTGCAAGAGCCCTAGCTCCAGTTTACGTGGTAGGCGCAGCACTTTGTGAACCTCCATGCGCAGATTTCGTGGCAGGCACAGCATTTTCTGAACCTCCATGCTTCTCCGAACCTCGACGCGGAAGCTCCGCCGAACGACGCTTGCGAGACGGTCTCGGGTCATGGTCGGATCATGGTCGGATCATGCTCGGATCATGGTCGCAATCGTCCCTCCATCGTGATTAGAGTTATGCACAGATTTCGTGGCAGGCGCGGCACTTTGTGAACCTCCACGCGCAGATTTCGTGGCAGGCACAGCACTTTGTGAACCTCCATGCGCAGATTTCGTGGCAGGCGCAGTACTTTGTGAACCTCCATGCGCAGATTTCGTGGCAGGCACAGCACTTTGTGAACCTCCATGCATCTCCGAACCTGCTCCGCGGAACGACGGTTGCAAGACGGTCTCGGGTCATGGTCGGATCATGGTCGGATCATGCTCGGATTATGGTCGGAATCGTCCCTCCGTTGTGATTGGAGTTTTCACTTGTTTCTTGAAGTGCCGATTTCGTGGCAGGCGCAGCACTTTGTGAACCTCCATGCGCAGATTTCGTGGCAGGCACAGCACTTTGTGAACCTCCAGGTGCAGATTTCGTGGCAGGCGCAGCACTTTGTGAACCTCCATGCGCAGATTTCGTGGCAAGCACAGCCCTTTGTGAACCTCCAGGTGCAGATTTCGTGGCAGGCGCAATACAAAATGCGTTTTGGAGAGATAGCGGACGCACGAAATGCTGTATTTTTCCATAGAACCGGTGGCTTCAAACCTGGCAAGTCTAGCTCTGCGGAACGACGGGTGCGAGACGGTCTCGGGTCATTCTCGGATCATGCTCGGGCATGGTCGGAATCGTCCCTCCATTGCGATTAGAGTTTTCACTTGTTTCTTGAAGTGCAGATTTCATGGCAGGCGCAGCACTTTGTGAACCTCCATGTCCAGATTTCGTGGCAGGCGCAGCACTTTGTGAACGTCCATGCGCAGATTTCGTGGCAGGCGCAGCACTTTGTGAACCTCCAGGTGCAGATTTCGTGGCAGGCACAGCACTTTGTGAACCTCCAGGTGCAGATTTCGTGGCAGGCGCAGCACTTTGTGAACCTCCATGCGCAGATTTCGTGGCAGGCACAGCACTTTATGAACCTCCAGGTGCAGATTTCGTGGCAGGCGCAATACAAAATGCGTTTTGGAGAGATAGCGGACGCACGAAATGCTGTATTTTTCAAAAGAACCGGTGGCTTCAAACCTGGCAAGTCTAGCTCTGCGGAACGACGGGCGCGAGACGGTCTCGGGTCATTCTCGGATCATGCTCGGGCATGCTCGGAATCGTCCCTCCATTGGGATTAGAGTTTTCACTTGTACCTCCATGTCCAGATTTCGTGGCAGGCGCAGCACTTTGTGAACGTCCGTGCGCAGATTTCGTGGCACCCCGAGGTGCAGATTTCGTGACTTCGAGGTGCAGATTTCGTGGCAGGCGCAGCCATTTGTGAACCTCCATGTGCAGATTTCGTGGCAGGCGCAGCACTTTGTGAAGATCCAGGTGCAGATTTCGCGGCAGGCACAGCACTTTGCGAACCTCCATGTGCAGATTTCGTGGCAGGCACAGCACTTTGTGAACCTCCATGCGCAGATTTCGTGGCAGGCGCAGCGCTTTGTGAACCTCCATGTGGAGGTTTCGTGGCAGGCACTGCTGAGAACTGGCGACTTTCTAGTACAACTTTAGTACGCGGAGCAAT